CCTTTAAGTAGGATATAGTGTCCTTCCTCATCTCTTATTACAGTCTTTGGTTTAAAATCTAATTTGTCTGATATAAGGATTGCCTCCCCAGCTTTTTTTTGGGTGTCCATTAGCATGGTAAATGGTTTTCCACCCCCTCACTTTCAATCTGGGGGTGTCTTTGGGTCTAAAATGAGTCTCTTGCAGACAGCATATCAATGGGTCTTGTTTTTTAATCCAGTCTGATAGCCTGTGTCTTTTGATTGGGGCATTTAGCCCATTTACATTCAGGGTAACTATTGAAAGATAGGAATTTAGTGCCATTGTATTGCCTGTAAGGTGACTGTTACCGTATATTGTCTGTGTTCCTTTCTGGTCTATGTTGCTTTTAGGCTCTCTCTTTGCTTAGAGGACCCCTTCAAGATTTCTTGTAGGGCTGGTTTCGTGTTTGCAAATTCCTTTAGTTTTTGTTTGTCCTGGAAGCTTTTTATCTCTCCTTCTATTTTCAATGACAGCCTAGCTGGGTATAGTATTCTTGGCTGCATATTTTTCTCATTTAGTGCTCTGAATATATCCTGCCAGTCCTTTCTGGCCTGCCAGGTCTCTGTGGATAGGTCTGTTGCCAGTCTGATGTTTCTACCATTGTAGGTTACATATCTCTTCTCCCGAGCTGCTTTCAGGATTTTCTCTTTGTCTCTGAGACTCATAAGTTTTACTATTAGATGTCGGGGTGTTGACCTATTTTTATTGATTTTGAGAGGCACTCTCTGTTCCTCCTGGATTTTGATGCCTGTTTCCTTCCCCAAATTAGGGAAGTTCTCTGCTATAATTTGCTCCAATATACTTTCTGCCCCTCTCTCTCTTTCTTCTTCTTCTGGGATCCCAATTATTCTAATGTTGTTTCATCTTATGGTATCGCTTATCTCTCGAATTCTGCCCTCGTGATCCAGTAGTAGTTTATCTCTCTTTTTCTCAGCTTATTTTCCATCATTTGGTCTTCTATATCACTGAAATCTCTCTTCTGCCTCATTTATCCTAGCAGTTAGCATCCCCATTTTTGATTGCACCTCATTAATAGCCTTTTTGATTTCGACTTGGTTAGATTTTAGTTCTTTTTCTTCTCCAGAAAGGGTTTCTCAAATAACTTCTATGCTTTTTTCAAGCCCAGCTAGTATCTTTAAAGTGATGATTCTGAACTCTAGATCTGACATCGTACTAATGTCCGTATTGAGTAGGTCCCTGGCAGTCGGTACTTCCTCTTGTTCTTTTTGTTGAGGTGATTTTTTCCGTCTTGTCATTTTGTCCAGAGGAGAATAGATTAATGAGAGAACAAAATGCTAGCAGGGTAACAACATCCCCAGAAAATATACTCTAAACAAATCAGAAAAGACCTGAAGCTGGGGGAAAAGAAAGGGAACGAGAGAAAAAAGAAAAAGAAAAAAAAAAGGAAAGGAAAAAGATAAAAACAAACAAAAACAGAGCAAAACAAAAAAACCCAGAATATGATCAAAACTTCATTTTCTCTTTTCTTCAATGTATCAAATTAGAATAAGAACAGAAAATTAGAACTCCAAACATGCAATGGCAACAGTGTCAAAGTTGAGAGTTTCCTTTCGAAATACTTGCCAACTATTATCTGTGGCCTTTACCTTGGTGGAATTGAGGTTTATCTTATGGATATTCAACCATGTAAAAGTTCACAGAGTTATATGCCATACGATTGGCATCCTTTTGTTCTGTCTACTCTCTTGAGAACTCTGGAGACCCGATATCCCTACATGGTGGAAATATGTCTAATGCTGCATTCCTCTAACCCTTACTTATTTCCATGGTAATTGGCCACAGAAGAAAAAAAATCGTGTGTTGTCATCAGAGTAACTTGGCAATGGCTGACAGAGTGATATCCGAACTCCATATACAAATCTTCCCTTTGTGGGCCGTTCTACCCCTAATGAGTATCTACTCAGTACAATTAGTCATTTCAGTACCCTATATTTTAGAACTATTCATATGTTGGTTTATAAATAGCTGGCATAGAAAAAGTGGTTTTGGTTTAATAATGCCCTCTATTTTAGATGACACTAAGTACCTTGTTTTTCCTAGGAAAATAAATAATAATATACCTCTTACAAAATGCTAATCCCAGTCCATTATTATTAGTTCATCCTATGGGATAGGGTTGAGACAATGTGACACTTAAGTAAAAGCAAGAGTGGTAATTATACTTTAAGATGTCCCGTAATTAAAATAAAACCTTTATAAAAGAGAACATTTTCCGTAGTTAGTTTATAACATCTCTTGCAAGTTTTCACTATGTCCATTTTTACATTTCAAGTAATAAAAGCTATGTGACAGTATTGTGTATCATCAATGTCTAAGCACAATTGCAATTGACATGCTGTTTTTACTTTCCTTCTCTCCAAAACAAAGTCCACGTACGGGAGCACAGCACTTCTAGCTACTGATACATCATGATGGGCAGGCAACAGAACACAGATATGGCAATCTGCTTGGCTGACTTCTGCTACACACTGGGAATCATGGAATAGGTCCCAGCAGGCTGAGAGCTGTGCACCCACGTACTGCAGAGTGCTCCGATTACAGCAGGTAGGTGGCTTGGATAAGGGAGAACTTGAGAGAGGTAGGAGTCCAACATAATGTGATGTGTGATTTACTGGAATTTGTGGGGACACATGCTATAATTGTATGGTTGGTACAATGTCTGATTGTTGTGTCTTTCATACCCTCTGGAGGTCAGCCCCCCCATGTAAGTGATAACCCACTGGAGCTTTTGTTGTGAGTGCAATCGAAACATACAAAATGAATAGCAACTGATTAATTGAAGCTGGTTACATTTTTGGAAAACAAATCAAAGTGATTTGCATGAATCACAATTTGTTACATAATACATTTTGAGAGCACAAATTACCTTTTTAAAGCCTAAGACACATATATACACAGTGACACAAACAGAAATATAATAAACTGGGCTATAACTACATAATTCACATTGAATACTGGACGCCAAAACTGATGTGAAACAAATGATTTTCCAATAAACTACTCAGGCAGAGCCATATCTGTTCTAAAATTTCAATTGAATGTTATTTATAAGACCAATAATTCTTCACAATTGTTAACCATGGGATGATGGAACAATTTGTTTTACATATTAGTTTGGGGGGTTTGTGTATTCCCAGGTTGGGAACTGATTTATAGTCATGTCCCAGAAGATATGGTAAATAAAGAGTAAGTCTGAGAGAAGTACTTATGTGGAAGAAAACTTCCAGGGTGAAATCATTATAGCCTTTTTCTAGTTTTGAATAAAAACTGTAGTAAAAATAGTGTTGTCAGCATTAAAGGCAAATATCATCATAATATATTTCCCTGAATTTAATATCTGTAGTAGATTTTAAGAATAATTTTTAAAAATATTTTTCTTAAACTTATTATGTGTCATTCTTAGTTAAAAGCTGTACCATGCAAATACTAACTATGGATTTCAACCTTTATTAATAACTACTTTTAGAATGGATCTTCTGGCAATGATGACTATCAAAATCTTCATGAAGAAGATGAGAACCAAGCTAAACTATTAAAGATAAACCATATGACAAAAAAAAAACCCCAAAAAACTACTTTTAGTATTAGCTGTTTTTCCTTTTTGGTTTGGTCTTAGGCATATGGTATATATATTTACATGGACTTCTATACACACACATATATATGAAATATTCTTAGGAAAATATATAAAATACACAAAAATATATACAAAATGGGATTGTACATATATGTCACTTTATAATCTGCTTTTTTTTATATAACAAAAGACACCAAACATTTTTCTGTCAATAAATATGTATCTATGTCATCATGGAATATCATTTATTTAACCAGTCATAGATTTGTTTTACTATAATAAACAAAATAGCAAAGAAAAACATCCAGATAGGGCGCCTGGGTGGCTCAGTTGGTTAAGCGACTGCTTTCGGCTCAGGTCATGATCCTGGAGTCCCGGGATCGAGTCCCGCATCGGGCTCCCTGCTCAGCAGGGAGCCTGCTTCTCCCTCTGACTCTCCCCCTCTCCTGTGCTCTCTCTCTCTCATTCTCTCTGTCTCAAATAAATAAATAAATAAAATCTTAAAAAAAAAAAAAAGAAAAGAAAAACATCCAGATATATAAATCGAAACACACTTGTTTGATGATTCTGTTGACATAAATTCCTTCATGCAGAATTACTGAATCAAAATGTTATGCAGATTTTGAACACTTTGGCTTATATTGTAAAATCACCTCTCAATAAGCTTGTATTAGAAGTTGTGGTATATATGTACAATGGAATATTACTCAGCCATAAAAAAGGGTGAACTCTTGCCATTTGCAATGACATGGATGGAGCTAGAGTGTACTATGTTAAGCAAAACAAGTCAGTCAGAGAAAGACAAATATATGATTTCACTCATATGTGGAATTTAAGAAACTAAAAAGATGAACATGAGGGGAAAAAGAGAGAGGCAAAGCATAAAACACACTCTTAACTACAGAGAACAAACTGAGGGTTGTGGAGGGGAGGACGTCAGGGAGATCGGTTAAATGGTTGACGGGAATTAGAGAGGACACTTGGGATGAGCACTATGTGTTGTATGTAAGTGGTGAATCACTAAGTGCTACACCCTGAAACTAGCATTACACTGTATGTTAACTAACCAGAATTTAAATGAAAACTGGGAAGAAGAAAAAAAAAAAAAAAGAAATGACTCTTTAGTTTTCTTGTCTCATGACTCCTAACTACAAATGTAAATATCCTTTGATAGTATGTTGGGTCCCTTTCTTACTTTTTTTCCCCCTCCCTCCTTTATTCCTTTATTTCTCATTTCTTTAGACAAATAAACAGGGCAAAGCATCTTTTTATATTTCTTAAGTGCAGAATCTTCCTTAACAGAAATTTACTTAAGTTAATGATAAATATAAGTAATTTCTAAACTTGGCATTAATTCACTTTGGGAGAAAGGACCACTCACCTTTAGAATTTTGGGATTCCATGTTGTCATTTCTATGCCTGCCATGTTGCTCCTGTTAAAGTGTCCATTAAGAACATTTTCCTAGGGAAAATCATTGTATAGACTTTAAATGATATTTCATTTCTTTCAGAAGGAAATACATATACTGTAAACCTCCTAAATCTAGTTGATGATTACTAAATGTCTAAGAAGGCCATCAGTCATTAGTAAGTTGAGAATAGAATGATCCATAGTACCGTTCTCAATTCACTAGTTCTTGTCAACTAGAGGTTCATCACCAGAAAAATAGCATGTATTCCAATAGATGTTTGTTCGACCTTCACTGAAGCTTTTAATCTCTAATTTTTTGTATGCATTTTATCCTTTCTTGACAAAGATATATATTTTTTTAATTTACTGAATTAAGGGATTTGAAAGGAAACCAAAACATTTAGACAAAAATACTTTTCTTAAGTAAAAGTTAGAATTTGGGGGAGTTTCTGGCTAATAAAAATATTAGAAAGTCAGAGATTTTTTCCCTTCAAAACTGGCTACAGGGGTGCCTGAGTGGCTCAGTCAGTTAAGCGTCTGACTCTTGATCTCAGCTCAGGTCTTGATCTCAGGGTTGTGAGTTCAAGCCCCATGTTGGGCTCCATGATAGATATGGAGCCTACTTAAAAAAAAAAAAGTGGCTACATAATATGAGTTAGAAAAATCACATTGATAAGTTCCTGTGTTTTTCCTTCTTTTTTCTTTATTATTATTTTTAATTTTAATTTTTGTTATTTAGCATACAGTATTACATTAGTTTCAGGTGTACAATATAATGATTTAACAATTCCATACATCACCCAGTGCTCATCACAACAAGTGCACTCCTTAATCCCCTTCACATATTTCACCCATCCCCCCACCCACCTCCCTTCTGGTAACTATTAGTTTGTCCTGTGTAATTAAGAGTCTGTTTCTTGGTTTCTTTCTCTTTCTTTTTTCCCTTTGCTCATTTTTTTTTAATTCCACATATGAGTCCATAGTCTCCCATGGTTCATCTCCCCCTCCAATTTCCCCCCGATGTTTATAGCAGCAATGTCCACAATAGCCAAACTATGGAAAGAGCCAAGGTGTCCATTGACAGATGAATGGATAAAAAAGATGTGGTATATATACACAATGGAATAGTATGCTGCCATCAAAAGGAAAGAAGATAGCATTGATGCTTTTTAATTGAAAGGTTTTTATGCATGTCATTTTAATATATAATCATATCATTGGTAATATTTTTTCTAGCCAAATGCATTTACAATTTAATGGTGTAAACACATTAGAAAAATAAGTTTCATTTAATTAGGGTGGCCTAAGGCAAAATTGTGAATTAAGTGGGGATTTATCCTAGGTATTTTCTTAATTCCAATGTTCTCATTTGAAAAACTGTTGAACATACGTAACATTCTAATGGAGTAAAAGAATCAGGTAATTTCTCTAATCTTAAAAAGTTCTCAGTTAAGACCATGGACTCTGAGAAACAAACTGAGGGTTCTAGAGGGGAGTGGGGTGGGGGGATGGGTTAGCCTGGTGATGGGTATTAAAGAGGGCACGTACTGAATGGAGCACTGGGTGTTATGCACAAACAATGAATCATGGAACACTACATCAAAAACTAATGGTGTAACGTATGGTGATTAACATAACATAATAAAATTTTAGAAATTTAAAAATTAAATCAAATTAAAAAAAAAAAAGTTCTCAGTTAGCCAGGAATAGTGAAGGAAGAGTGGCACAGGTTGAAGAGACTTCCATAAGGACGGAACTTGTACAGAGATGGAATGCAAGGAAGAACACGACTTGCAAGGATCAGTTGGAATTATTTATCCTCTGCACTGAATCTACTCACCTCAGGGTAAAAACTGGAGGTTAAACCATCCATGTGGTTTTCCCTTTCACAGTGGACTAGGGTCAGGACCTTTCTGTTTTCTTCTCCCTCTTCACGAAAATTCTCTTCATTATAGCTATTTGTGGGAAGACACTAACACCTTTGCGTGAATATTTGCCATTGACTTATAAGACACTGTACTCGCTATCTTTCCTATCCCCAAAGAGGAGCTGTGTCTAATGGGACAAACCTTTAATGGTGGAATTTCAGGCAACAACAGCAACAACTTGTTCCGGAGGTGTTTTGGGATCTTTCACACTATTCATCATAGATAGCCACTTACCTGGCCACGAAGAAGCCAGATTTCAGTTCTAAATGAAATCATCTTAATAGAAAGCTTTTCTGAAGAAAAATTAAGTATATCCAGTTGTGAGTGATACCTATGCCATGCACAAGAGTTTATCCTAATGTTATTTGGAAATCTCAGTACAACTATCGCCCTCCACTGCTGTTTACTCTGCTAAGTACAGATAACAACCACTGACTTTGGTGATTCTCTGGGTAATAACATATCCTGAGACGCACTATTGTGCGTCAAGACAATAGAGTCATGGCTGGAGTGGTTTAAGGCTGAGGTTCCTGTCCCATGAAAACATTGTGGGTTGGCTGGCATGTGACTTTCTGGTAACACACTTATGAGTTAAGATGCTTCCCATTGCAGGTCATAGGGCCTGGTGCCAAGAGATCTCCTGATTCTGACTTAGGCTTGTTTTACACATTACTGGGAATTAAACTTGTTAGTGCCAGTTCCATCTTTTCCATTAGATGCTCATTAATAAAAACCTAGATGCCCATTATTCATCACATCATAACATACTGGATGACAGTTAATTCACCTAAAGTTTTCACATTTGATAACTTCTTCATTCGTGCTAATTGGGTTACTTGGAATTTTCCATCAATCATAGCATCTCAGGTCCTGGCTCTTCTGAAAGAATCCATTTGTGAGGCATATATTATACACTAGACGTACACAAGCAAAATTAAGTGTAGGATCTAATTTCAACTCTGATTCATGTCTGCTTTGATTGAGTGGAGGGCACAACTTGGCCCCTCAATAGATTCTTTTTCCAAAGAGGAAAATAAGGCTGAGAGGCATTGCCTTTACCTCAGCTCACTTTACTCAAAACTCCACTGATTCATAGCAGCCTGAGAAAAGATTTACATTCAAGGGGACTCTGCAGGAATATTCACTGCAGGGAGCAGTGTGGGGCACAGGCATAGAGGGTTCTGAGCATCTGGGGAACTGAGCTCTGCTCTGGCACTTTAGGTAGCATTACGATTTTATTCCTTGTGTTCCTCCTCTGTAAGCCCCAGCAGGTACGATTGGTGTTCTCTTTGGATCATTCCAGCTCTTTAATGTGATCGAAGTACATGGGAAGGAATTCTTGAGGTTTGAGGACGTCTTATGTTGATTTTCTCTACTTCTCTACAAATGTTCCCTGTGTCCATTCACCTAGTTTCCCTTTCAGAGAAATGCTTTGCTCTTTTAATCAAAGCAACTGATTTCTCATTCTAACTGTAATCTGAAATTCATGCTCTGTTTCTCTTCTTATTGTGACATAATAAAAAAAACACAGTAGAGTTGAAAAAAGTAAGAACGTTGGTGGTGTACATTTTGCTTTCCTTCTGCTATTATCAGCAATGCTTACAACTTAGATACAGCATATTCCAATAAAAGAAACTCAGCAGAGGACAGACGCTCAGGCCGCCTTTGTCCATGACACATGGTGAGTCATCTTAGCACAATGTGATTGGCCTATAACTACAGCAGTGTCTGCTCACTGGGCCGAATCAGCAGTCATCCGACTGGTTCGTGTAACTTCAAGGTCAAGTAAATAAGCCATTCCTACAGCCCCAAATTTCTCCTTATGCCAACATGCTGCAGGGAGACTAAGTAGGTCACAATAGGACCAGATAATAATTCATTTCAGGTTTCCAGGTTGCTAAGAGCCCCAGCGGTTTTCCTATGTATGGCCCACATTCTCTTCAATCTTGCTCAGCTATTTCCCTTCTGAGGTCTTGTTCTCAGATCTGCATATATTTACATGTTTTAGCCTGTAAGCTTTTTAGCTACAAATTATATAAAATAGAGGTCAGCCCTCTGCCAATATAATTTTCTTTTTCCCCCCATTTGCTTAATCTCAAAAATAAATAAAAACATGAATGGGAAGGATAAAAAAGTGAAGTATTTCTATAGAGGTCTTTTAACTCTGACAGTCAAGACAACTGTTGTTTTAACACTACTCTCCAGAGTGCTGCATTTTATTTCCAACTTCCAAGGTGCTTTGCTCCAAGCTGGTGTTTTCCCTACTGTACATAGAGGGGAAATGGTGTTCCTCAAAAGGTTAAAAGACATGATATATTCCAGTGAGGTTGGATCTTAAGACAATTTATAGACTTGGAAAATTTTTCTGGACACTCTTAATTAAATCACTAATGGTATGCTCTGGGATTTTGGCCATTCTTAGCTCAGTTTTGTTAGTAAAGTTGTGATTAGTGAAAAATCATTGGGTCAGGCCTTTCTGCTTTCAAGGTCGTTGTGGTTCTTAGCCCTGTAATCATATTTCTAGATTGATTTTTTTTCTTTTGAACTTTAGTTTCATATTTTAATCTGTTTTGCGTTATTGCTGTTTAAATAATTTTCAATTTCAGTCTCCTTCAACATCTCTCAAGCTTTCCAAGCATTTCTGGTCTTGGTCCCATTTTAAAACATAGTATCAAAACGTTGTTCATAGGTTTGGGAATAAAGAAGAAATACTACTAATTTATAAATTCAGTAATATTCCATCTCTTACACTTACTGGCCTATATGGCACATTTGTGTACATTAGAAGAAGCTCTTCTTTCCTTAAGACATTTTCTTATCTGCTAGAACATTAGTCCTGATAAAGAAAACTACAGTGCCTATGAATGGTTCTCCCTGGAGTTGGTCAGTGCACAATCTGTCCCACTGTATGCAGGAGACATGAAGAGTCTTTACCTTTACCTAAACATAGTTGCTCTAATTATAGTTGTATACTTTCACAGAAGGAATGCCATCTTTATAGATTGACTCTGACTGCTGACACTTGAAACTGAACTTGAAGTTCAGTGGGAGATAGTGTTGCACCAATGATTAAAATGGTTGTTAGCTAGGATAAGAAAAACAGCTCCTTCTCTTATGATTGTA